TCTCACCATCAGCTTCTTTTTCTTGTTGTAGCGCAGCTTCGCCTTCTCTTTCCTTTTCTCTTCCAGCGCCGCCGTCACTGCCTGGTACTTCCAGCCCACCTCATGTGCCAGCCGGCCCAGGAAAGCAAACTGGGGAGGGGGCACAGGGGGGGTCAAGGGGGGACCCCGGTGGTGGGGGAGCCCCCCCGGACCCCCCCCCACCTTACCTTACGGGTGGGCTTCAGGCGGATGATCTTGAGAGCAGCTGGAACCACCATGCGCTTCCGCTGCCAGAGGAAGAGCATCACTGAGGGGGGGGCTGGATTTGGGGGGTGACAAGGGGGAGACAAAGAGAGATTTGGGGGAGAACAAGGGGGGGGGTTTGGGGCAGCCACAGTGCCTCAGTATCAAAGTTTCTCTCAAGGATCATCGAACAATGTAGGTAAAAGTGCATCACTGACACAGAGCGGCAGATTTGGGGGTCCCATGGGGCTGGGGGGGGTCCTGGGGTGATTTGGGGGTCCCCTCACCTTGTCATAGGGCGGGGGGATTCCATCGAACACCTTCAGCCTCTCCAGTGCCGCCTGGCCTCGCTTTGTCTTGTGGGGCAGCATCCCTGGGGGGAGCACGGGAGGGGTCAGGGGGCTCTAGGAGGGCACCCCGGGGTTTGGGGGGGTCCCCGGCCCCCCAAACTCACCTCTCACCGTCCGCCAGAAGATGCGGCTGGGGGCACGGAAGTGGTAGGGCCCCCGCGAGGGATTGGTGTTCATCCGCTTCCGCAGGAAGGCCAGGAACTTCACTGGGGGGGCGGGCAAAGCGTTATTCCCTCGCAAAACAGGGGAGACCCCGGCGTCCAGGGCTCCCGTTACACCCCCCGGTAACCGCCCCCCCCACCCCACTCACGTTTGTTGCGGTAGAAGTTGCCGGAGATGTTGATGCCCTCACAGCGCACCACGACCACGCGCCGGCCTGCAGACATGGAGGGGGCACACACAGGGACATGGGGGGGGGGACACACGGACACGGAGGGGAGCAAGACACACGGACACGGCTCAGGGGCGGCAGCGACCGGACCCACGCGCCTTCTCCCCCCCGGCCCGGCCCGGTCCCCCCGGCGCTCAGCTGGTAGTGCATGAGGCAGCTCTCACGGTCGTGAGACTCAACAGCCGAAGAGGCTTCATCCCCGCGCCAGGGGTCCCGGTGTCCCCGGAAGGTCCCGGTGTCCCGGGGAGGGGAGGTCCCGCACTTACCCAGCAGCACCTGCTTGGCCACGATGGCCGCCAGCCGGCCCAGGAGATGCCCGCGGCCATCGATCACCAGAACCTGCGGTACCGGGAG